CGCGCGCGCCCGCGTGGAGCCCCGGGCATCCGGGCAAGCGGCTGGTGAGGTAGGTCGGTCTCCGAAATTTAAGGCCCGGCGCGTGGGGATGGGGGGAGGGGACGGCGCTCGCTGTGATGAATAAATACCAAAAAGGGGGAGCGGGGGAGGGGAGTTGCAATTGGAGGAGAAGATGGGGCGTCCCGGCGGCGGGGTTAGGGTGGAGGGGGGATGGACGTGCCCGGAGGAGATGGGTGAGGGACCAGGGAGCCACCAGGCTCATGGAGGACATCAAACACCAGTTCGTCTTCATCCCCATCCGTGTTACATCTCCTTTGGGACGCTGTCCTGGAGCCACCAGGCTCATGGGGGACATCGAGCACCAGCTCAGCATCCCACCATCTCCTCTAGGACCAGGAGCTGCATCCTGGAGCCACCAGGCTCATGGAGGACATCAAGCACCAGTTCATCTTCATCCCTGTCCGCGTTACATCTCCTTTGGGACACCATCCTGGAGCCACCAGGCTCGTGGAGGATATCAATCACCAGCTCAGCATCCCACCATCCATATTGCATCTCCTCTGTGACCAGGAGCTCCATCCTGGAGCCACCAGGCTCATGGAGGACATCAAGCACCAGTTCATCTTCATCCCTGTCCGTGTTACATCTCCTTTGGGACACTGTCCTGGAGCCACCAGGCTCACGGGGGACATCGAGCACCAGCTCAGCATCCCACCATCTCCTCTAGGACCAGGAGCTGCATCCTGGAGCCACCATGACATCAGTCATCACCTTGTCTTTACCCCCAGCCATGTTGCATCTCCTCCAGGCTGCCCGATCCATCCGCAACAACCGCGTGGTGCCGGCTGGCAAGGAAACCAGCACCGGCCATCCGGGGCAGCCACCAGCTCCACCTCACCCACCCAACCTCAACCGTCCCTCATGGTGGTCACCCATCACCACCTCCACCACCGGGATGAAGCGGTGCCACCCTCCTCATCCTCCCCACCACCAAACCCCATCACTTGTCCCTGGCGGCCGCCCGGGCGTGGATGCGCGTGTGCCGGGCGAGGGAGGACTTGTTGCTGAAGCTCTTCCCGCAGTGGGGACAGGGGAAGGGTCTCTCGCCCGTGTGCGAGCGCTCGTGCACCGTCAGGTCTGCCAAGTACTTGAAGCTCTTGCCGCAGGCGCCGCAGGGGTAGGGGCGCTCCTCGGTGTGGCTCCGTTGGTGCATGGTGAGGTTGGACTGTTGGCTGAAGCGTTTGCCACAGGCGGCGCAGGGGTAGGGTCGTTCGCCCGTGTGCGACCGTTGGTGCTTGTTGAGGTCCGACGGGTTGGTGAAGGTCTTGCCGCAGGAGCCGCAGGCGTAGGGACGCTCACCCGTGTGCAACCGTTGGTGGGTGGTGAGGGTGGAGAGGTGGCCGAAGCTCTTGCCGCAAGCCCCGCAGGCGTAGGGTTTCACCCCCGTGTGGGTTCGCTGGTGGGTCTTCAGGTGGGTCAACCGGCCGAAGCTCTTGCCGCACTCGCCGCAGGGGTACGGACGGTCCTTCCCCTGCGCCGACGGCTCCCGCTTCACCCAGGGCTTCTCCGGGCTCCTGGTGTCCTCCGCCGGTCCGGGCGGAGCTTGGGCGAGGGGCTGTGGGAAGGTGGTGGGATCCTGGGGGATCTGGCGCCGGTGAGGCCCTCTCCGGGCGGGGGTCCCGACTGCTGGGATGCCCTGGAGGGTGCTGGGTGGGTGCGGGGGGTCTTGCCGTTGCAAAATGGATGCCTCCGGGTCTCTGCTCATCACGGTGGGACCTGCTGGGGGGGAAGAAGATGCTTCATGAGTTGGTTCTTAATGGAGGACACCACCCTTCTCCTCTGACCCCACCGCCCTCGATCTCCTCCAGCAATGGTGGAGATGGCCCAGCTCCCACCATTGAGCCAAATGCCAAATCCATCCATGGATGGCCCATCAGGCCGTGCTGGGACGGGGATGAAGATGAGGCCACCTCAGCAGAGGAGCCCAGCCGGTCCAACAGGCAAGGATGGCTGCAGGAGGACCTGGAGAGGAGCCCACCATGTCCAACCACCATCCCCAAACCACCACAACTCCAAGCAGCGTTTGCAGCATCGCCGTGAAGGAGAAGCCGATGCTGGAGGAAGGGAACAAGATTTTGGGGCTCATGGTTTCCAGAGGAGAAACGGGGAGAACAAGAGCTCTCTACGGACGCTCATGATCTTCGCTCCAAGATCTCCATCCTTCTCCAACTTCTCCGCAACTCAGGAGACGGCCGTCTTCCAGCTTCCCATGCTGGCGTGGACATCTCACATAGGTCTCCCAGCCCTTCTTCTCGCTCCAGTTTGGCTTTCGAGCCCAAGGAGACCTTTCTTCTCACACTGCAACAGGGCTCGAGGTCACACGTGGTGGCACCACTGCAGGCGTCTCCATCTGGATCCTTCTTGGGGGTCACATCTTTCTTCTTTCTCAATACCCCAAGAGTTTTCCCAACACCAAGACCTCATTTTTGGCCCTTTCCCCCCCTTTGCTCTCACTCATCCTCCACCAAGAGCAACAAAACCCCCCCCCAAAAAAGAGCAATGACGCCATGGGAGCATCCGTGGGGGGAACCAGCCGGGGCCAAGCCCATCGCAGGAGACACCCCCACCTCCAAGCCCCCTGGCTCCTCCAGCAGCTCCTTCACCCCTTTTTTTGGGGGTGGGTGGGTGGGTGTGAAGGATCTCCTTCCTTCAGCCCGTTACCTGTCTCCTGCAGGCGCCGCTCCTCTTCCTCGGGGACAAACTTGACCTTGCCCCGGGCCACCTCCTCCCGCCAGCCGTCCCCAGAGGGGAGCTGGGGGGACTCCGATGGGGGGCTCGGTGGGTCCCCCGCCATTTCGGGGTCCTCTGCGTCCCCTGGGGCCACCTCCTCCACTTTCACACGCACCGTCACCTGGGGGACCCAAGGAAAAAGGGGCACCCAGGGGCTGCAGAGGGGAGCTGGGTTTCCCAGACCCCCGGGGGCTGCAGAGGGGAGTTGGGTGCCCCGGACCCCCAGGGGCTGCAGAGGGGAGTTGGGTGCCCTGGACCCCCGGGGGCTGCAGAGGGGAGTTGGGT